TTTCTGAAACGCGTCGATTTTTACAAAGCTCATCGGTCTGAAAAGGCGAGGTGTGCTGTGATTGGCCAGCTATCCAGTGCGTTGTGATTGGCCGAATACCTCAAGCGTGTGACGGCAAGGTACGCCCCTTACCATACTGTGATGCCGTGTCCCGGAGCGACGAGACAAAACCAGAAAAACCCATTATAAACGAGGCATTTGTTGCATCCAGTGGGGACATAATTACGGATTATAATGACTTATACTGTCATTTTATGCGTTGCATTGCATATTGTGCCGCATAAACATAAAACCATGTTGTGATCGGAGAAATGACAAACAACAAGCGCTACTCTACACTGCTCTACTCTACAACTCAGTGGCAAATTCTTTTAATATGAAAACGTACTTACAGACTGCGAGTCAGAAGCGCCAGACTGTCCTTGCAAAGTTGGAACTGCCCCACTTTATAGAAACAGCCATTGTGTGTAGACTGCATTGTAGTCTACTATCCCAGGATCAGGAAACAGTTCTCCATAAAATGTGCTGCACACATCTGAATATTTGGGTTGAACTGTTCTGGAACAGTGTTGTAAATACAACTGAACCACTGATTTTTAGTGTGTCCTCTTTTGGAAGGCCAAACAAATGAATTTCGCTTTCACACCGAAACACACAGCGTCTCCACGACATGGTGGCGGCGGCAGCAACAATACTACAGCGAGAATCAAAGTTACACTTTCTTTCTTTGCGTGAACATTTGGGTGGTGTTATGCAAATCCTCCCACATCGTGATGTAGACATGTGGGGGCGTGTTTAAACAAGGCGTTTTAGGAAGGCGTGGTCGAGTCTTAACTTTTATAAAGAATATCTCTTTGGGTTTGAGACTTTAGTCTTTGCAACTTTAGGGATCTTATCTATTCACGAACAGCTTGTAACACTCCAAAGAGAAAGGAAAACTTGAAATCGCATCATATGACCCCTTTAAAGCAGACTAAGCAAACAATGAAAAATGAGTGGTTTGTATATATTGTGGTGAGGTGATATAACCATTCGTTTGTGTTTCAGCCAGCTGCTGAAAGATAATGTGGATAATTAGAGATAGTGTGTTCCTCTTCATGGGCTGCACCTGCCAGCCAGAGGCAGATGTAGTTTGGCAAGGCTGTGGAATCAATAGCTGCCATTTGTTTAAACTTCACACGCTGACAAAGATCAGAAAGGAGCAGGAGCCTGATGTGACGCCTTGGCTGGGGTGACTCTGGCAAGAGATGTGACAGACATGACCTGATCTGTTCCTGACATTGATTTGAGAATGAGATAATAATATACCATTATTGTTTGGGTCTTTACTATCAAGCTGGGGGTCTGGTTCGCTAACATAAGTGTAAAACAACTTTTTCCCCTCTGATTCTTTATCTTTAGAACAAAGCGGAGCACTATCATTATTATAATAGGATGTATTATTGATAAGCCGTAATCCAGTACTGGTAATGGGCGTTCCTTTTCCAACATGCTCTGTACGCAGTAGACCAATCACAAGAGATTGGGTCATCTGACCAATCAGAGCAGAGTATCCTCACGCAAAGGAGGAGTTTGGAAGAATTAATCTATGAACGAATCGTTTGAGAGTCGTTGAGAAATAAGGTAAATTTAAATGCATATTATTAAATTTTTTTAAGTGATTTTAATCAAGTTATGAACCCTTGAAATAGCATAATAGGGGCACTTTAAAGTGCATAACGTTAAAGAACTCAAGATCTTTAATGTCAGGTGGATTCTGATTGTTTTTAGCTGTAAAAAAAATGTTCTGAAAAAGATTCCAATCAAATTTTTCCTCTGTAGTTATAGTTGTAGCTGTGGTGTGGAC